ATTTTTAACTAATGTGAGATTAACGATTCATATTAGAGGATCTATTTAAAATATTATAATTGAAAATATTATTTGCGTTTACATCCTTCTTCTACGTAAAAATGCCACATGCTAATCCTCTAGTATGAATACATAATTTTAATGAATGAAAAATATTTGTTAAACAACAAAAATAGTTAATAGTTAAGCTCTTCCAATTCTAGAATGCACATTATTGGTGATTAATAATATTCCTGTAAATGATTACATGACACATTGATCCATCTTATAAATTTCAACAAATTAGGAGTTAAATCCTCACCCAAGTGCCTTTGCAAGATTGGAGCACAATACCACGTGAGTTTAACAACAAAATTAATGTTTAGCAATGACTTTTGATGACAATTATTGTCCACTCTTTCTCAAATTCAATGTAATTTATTTGCAAGTTACTTTCACTTTTAAACATGACAATGACATGTCTCCCTCCATTGGCTTAGATCCAACTTTTTCACTGTATCAATTATTGTGTAACGTTCTTGGGACCCCTGTTTATTTAATTCCTTGTGATAAAAAGATAGAAAGGTACTTCTGTTTATTTTTCCTAGCCTTTGGGTGTTCTCTTTTATTAGGGTAAAAAACAGTTAAACAGAAATAAATAGTTTGCAACTGGTCAAAGCATTAGCTAAATATGGCAAATATAGAAAGAAAAAAATGCTAATATTTCTTATATTGAAGCATTGGAATAAAATTGACTAGAAAGAACTCAAAACACAAAGTGGTAAGTTTCAAAGTCAAGTGAAGAATAATGAGATTAATTAGCAGTTAAAACCACATGACAGCCAAGAATTCTCCAAAAAAATTGGTGGAGTCCATTTCTCCTAAATTAGCGCCACATGGTTTGGTCATCCTAAAGTTGAACCACTTCTTACTATATGTAAATGTGGGGTCCCCTCGACTCTTGTTTGTAATCTTAACGACTCATCCAACGTAGTGGTTTTGGTAGTAAGCAAAAAAGTCATAACAATAAAAGTTAAAGGATTTAAAATTGTGAAATACAAACAACTTGATAATTACTAAATGTTATTTACAATCCATACATCTACATATATCCATCCTTGTATATAAAGAAGATTTCCTATCTTCCAGTACATTTTATTAAGGACAATTTTAACTTTTTAAATAAAAAAAAACTGTTAAATAGAGATTATTAAAGGTTACAAAAGTCTTTCTGTGTATAATAATTGCACTCTATTCAATTTATGTAGGTAGTTAAACAAATACACGAAGAGTCTTTTTTTTTTCACTAATATATTATTTATTCTATTAATATAGAGAATTGTCTCATTTGGTATCCACATTTTAGATAACTATCTTTTTACAAATTACAAATTTTTTATTCTTTTATGTAAATTTCACTCCATAATCATTTGTATTTTTATTAACTACTCACTATTATATGATTTTTATTTATTTTTAAAAATAATTCACAGAGGTAGGGAATGTCTTTTCTACACTAGCGTATATATAAAGGTGATTATCTATTTTGGTGTACACAATATTTTTAATAAGTTTAACCTTTAAAATAAAAATAAAAAATTGCACAAGAATATTTAATAAAGGTCATACAAAAAAATTTGATCTTGAAAAAAACTTTTACTAAATAATAATTGTTCTCAACTGGGGTGGTTTGATCCCGACTTTCCTAGGTGAGATCAATGAATCTCCTCTGCTCGGTAGATTGGTTATTTCAATGAGGGGATACCTATAAAAGAGACTCTGATACTTAAGTTAGTTCTTGATAATGTAGATGTCTTTTATATATAATGCACGTATCTCGATGAATTTAGGGTTATCACTATCTACCGATTTCACGATTTTTGTAGTAAGGTGTTGAAATCATATCTTATCTTTTTAGTGGTGGTTGGTGGATGATGTGGCTTTTATAAGCCGATTTGACATTTTGATGTCCTTGTCTTTTGACCAAGCTTGGTAACTCGGCCAATTTGGTGCACGTTCCTTGCAACCTTGGCTGGGCTTGTTGGCTCGGCCACTCGGCCAGGCTGGTACAATAATAATTGCACATTGATAAAAAAAAATCACTACACACTATTCCACTACACGAAGTGCCTTTGTTTCCACTAATAATATATAAAGTGATACTTTCATCTCGATCACTTTTGATTTCTACTTTATTGTGACAATTTTATCCTTAAATATCTTTTTCCCCCTTTTTTAGGAATCTTTTCACTCAATTTTACATTCAATTTATGACCAACAACAATTTGTGGAGATAATGACATATAAGTGCTAATTATTTCAATATTATTGTTCATATATTAATTGTTTTGTTATCATTGGTATCAAAAGCATTTCTTAAATATTTGTTAACAAACTAATTCCCTTTACATAATATAAAGAGGTGACAAGGTGATTTTGCACACAATTTTACCTCATAAAGTCTTAAATGCGTATCATTTATAATGATTAATGACTACTTAGTGCATACTAATCAATTGCTTAATAGATCAAACAAAGAAAGCTCGTTAGAACTCACAAATTTATTAAAGTGAATTAATTCATGTTTTGCGCAAGAAACAAGGAAAAACAAATCCTTAAAATCATGAAGAAAGTCAGTAAAAGTTGATGCATAATCTACTCTTCGCTAACACATGCCACAAAAAGTCCATTTGGTATCCTAAAGTTGATAAGTAGTCTCCTTGATTAGATAAAAACTAAAAATTTGGTGAAATGTAATTAATGAAAGCATTTAATGCTTCAATAGACATTTCTCATCTCAAGAGACTCGCAACGAAGATATATGAAGCAAACTTGTGAGGAACTCTCAATATTTTGCAATGGTCATCTTCATCTAGGCCATATAAGGAACTTTAAGAACAGAAAGAAGAAATCTTTTTTAGAGGAACTCTTGTACAAAAAATTATTCATTCTTTCTGTAAAAACATTGTTCTTAATCCGTTGTATCACATCTTGTTTGTAAAACAAAACAACATTTGTAAGATTTTACGCAAACATGACTGTTTTTTATAGAGTTTAGCCTAAAGAGACTTGTTTGTTAAAAGAATACTTGTTTGAGCCTAAAGAGTCTTGTTAGTAAAAGAATACTTGGTTAAGTTTAGAGAGGCTTGTCCGTAAAAGAACACTCGTTTGAGCTTAGAGAGGTTTTTCCGTAAAAGGATACTCGTTTAAGCCTAAAGAGACTTGATTGTAAAAGAATAATTTGTGTTGAAGCTTGAAGAGACTTTGTGTGAAAGAATACTTGGGTAGATTACTTGAAGAGACAATTTAAAGAACACTTCAGTTTAAGCCAGAAGTGACTTGTTGAAAGAATACTTGTATCTTTTTTAAGATAGTGAAACTCAATTTAGTTAGATTGAGAATTAGACGTGGTCTTAATAGTTGAAACAAACTAGTGTAAAAATTATTGTGTATTTCGTATGTCTTTTCTCCCGCACTCTTTATTATTAGCGTTACTATTTTACTACTAAAAAAAGTGGGAGTTTTTTTATAGACATTATTTAACCTCCTTTCTAGTGTGTCTTTTTTCTATAATTTTCGATACTTAATGCTAAAGTATGTCTATGATAAAATCATGTTGATGAAAATCATCACATCAAATTCAAGAAATTGGTCAATAAAATAAGATAGAAAATTTATCCCACATGTTAATTTTTTTTCCTTTTTATGTATAGTGATTTTTTTTATCAATAAAAGATTATAATAATAAAAATGAATACAAATATAAAATTTTATGTATATTACTCTCTTTTTTTTTTTAAATTGAAGGAGTTAACCACCTTAACAAAAATCAATTAATGATTACGAAAATACAAATTTAAAGTTACATATTAGCTTTAAAAATCAAAGTAAAGAAAGGTATAACATTATCAAATACATGTATATTCTAAATACATTTATATTCTCATTTAAAGATAAACCAAAATTAGTTAACTTATTTATACTACTTTAACTCTCATTTTTTGGCACCATCATAGTTTTTTTTAATAAGATAAACGTAAATCTTTCTTAAATATTTGAGTCCGGAAATTTTTCCCTATCCGAGACACTATACCTTCAAAATTTAGATAAAGAAAATATCATATCACATTTTTTTTTCCAATTCATTAGTTTTCCTAGATATTCTATCCAATGTTAAACCTAATTAATTGGCAATGATGAGAAAATAATGAAACTATTCTCAAATAGCGTAGAGATTGCAAGAGGGTGCATATACATGACACAAAAGCATGGCATGCGACATGCATGATGCATTAACGGTTCAAATAAATGCTGAGAGAAAAAAAAACAAGATGGGTGACATCTACTACCCAATTACGATAATCATCTACACAGCCTAAGAATAAAACGTCAAATCAGATAAATAAACTGTGTAAAACAATTATTCCAATTTAATAAATTTTATTGGTCTCTCAATTTATATATATATATATACAAACTTATTTTCATTGATCGTTCAAAGTGTGTGGGGGAGACAAGTTCACACGGGTTCCATATGCATGTCAAAGGTGCCAATTTTAATAAATTGAACAGGACAAAGTGAGAGGGTGAGATGTGATGCGAAAAGACTCAAAAGAGAATAGACTCTAGTGTCAATATCATTGGCCTAATAAAACCAAGATATTAAGATTTAAAAAAAAAAAAAAACTGAATAAAATTGAATAGAATAGATGAAATAGCAACAAACTAAGTAGAATACCCACACCATAACAACACAAATCAGTTCCTATGTTATTGTTCTGCCTCAAACATATTACCACATTTTCTTCCATACAATAAGGATTCATAGATTTAGTGAATCAATTTACACAATCATAATAGCTTGAAACCCGTCTCGACCTTGTAACAAAGAATAAAAATAATGCATTAACATTCTCTCTAATACTCTCTTGTTGGTACTCTCTTCATTATTGGTTAAACATCACAAATTTTAGTTAATTTTATCACTAAATCTAGAGAAATTTGTCAAATCAGAAGCGAGATTCATAAAATTTGTGATTTTCGATAAATTTTATCTAATAATAAAGAGAGTGTTATAAAGAAAGTATCGTGGAGAGTGTTGGGGCATTCCTAGAGAATAAAAGCCTCACAAATGAACAGGATTCACAATTCAAAGCTTCATAATAACCTATCCAAAGCATCAAGCACATGCCTCATTATGGGTCTCTTTTCTGTGTTGCTATGGACACAAGCAATTGCAATCTTCAAAACTGCAATGATCTCCTCTTCCTTATCTGCATCTTCAGCTAAATACAGATCTAATACATCTGAGAGTGGCTTCTTCTCATCAATGCAGAGCTGAATCCATTGAACAAGGTCCATTTCTGAGTTACCAACTTGGACAATAGGCAACCTTCCCGTAATCAACTCTAGCAGAATCACCCCATATGAGTAAACATCCCACTTCTGTGATGGCTTCACCACTTTCATTGTTTCTGGAGCTTGATAACCATTTCCCAAAAGACTGGTTGAAACTTCTGTGGATAAGCTCCTCTGTCTTTCTTGTGATTTCTCTGTGACCACTCGGTTGGATTGTAAGGTTGGGGACCCACCAGCAATGTTAGCAAGGCGTCCAAGACCGAAATCGGAAATGTGGGGCTCCATGCTTTGTCCTAACAGTATGTTACCAGGCTTCAAGTCTCCATGGACATATTTTTTTGGACTAAATTCATGTAGGTAGACCAATCCTTTTGCAATTCCTTTCATGATTTTCAGTCTATCAGACCAAGAAAGTGGAGTAAATGTGGCAAGTCCAGCTTTCCCTGAAGACATCAAATGGAAGTATGGAACCAACAATCAATTGGACAAACTACCATAGTACCAAAAGTAGAGATCATAAATTTCTCAACAGGAGAACTACTAGCAACACACTCTTCTTAGTATACCGTCTTAATGGTTAAAATTCATTAAAAACTACAAAATCTTACGAGAAATTCATTAAATGGAGTGCGAGAGTCACTAAATTTTGAGATTTTCAATAAATTTCAACTAATCGGGAAGAGTGTATCAGAGAGTGTGTTCCAAGCATTTCTCAATTGTGGTTAGAAAAAACAGACTTGTAATTGATGAGACTTACCATGTATTGCTGTAGCAAGGCTTCCATTGGGAACAAAATCATAGATGAGAAGCTTCTCATCAACAGACCAGTAATAGGCTCTGAGAGTAACAATATTTGGATGCCTCAACTTTCCTATTGCTTCAACTTCCGTTTGGAACTCTTTAAACCTTTGAGAACCTCCCTCCCCTAATCTTCTGACAGCCAAGGTGAGCCCTTCTTCAAGCACTACTTTGTAGACAATCCCTATTCCACTCTTTC